CTTATCCAGTTTGGAATGGGAGCCACTAATGGTCTCTGAGGTCAGGCATAACTTGATCCAAATTATGTTTGTGAACAGTAATGAGGTGGCCATGGGTAGGATGACTTGGAGAGGGTGAGATGAGAGTAGAAGCAGAGAGCTCAGTGGCAAATTCATTCCTTGTAGTCTTCGTTAGCCACACTTTAGTTTGTTTCAAGAACTCATCTGGAGCCAAGACAAGCAGATCCTGCTCTTTGACACTACCTGTGTAGTTGCCCTCCTTCCTCTCCCAAATCATGGACTTTAATGGAGGACGAGGTGTTTGAAGTCAGTAGAAATACATTTAGATATTTTCTGTTTCACTATTTTCCATGCAAATCAACAAAAGGGGCAATCAGCTGAGTCTTGGCCAGTGAAATGATGTCTGGAGTTCACCATCCAGGAAGATAATTTGCCCCCCACCCTCTGTAAATTATGTCATGCCAGCACGGCCACCAGTGAATACCTCCGTGGGGAGTCACACCTCATGACACATCTTTTCCTTGGATCTGATGAACCCAATGACTTCTCTTTCTTGTTCCAGTCAGAATGGGCTTCTGCTCCTTTCTAGAATTTCCAGATTCACCAATGATGGTAAATCTTTGCACTTTTCCTATTGCACCAGTGAAACGACTTCTTTGTGTCACATTCTTCAAGCTCTAATACTAGTATAAATTCCTCTTCGTTTTCTGAGAATTCTCATTTCTAGATTGTTCCAGAACTCCATCCCCCTCCCCCATATTTTCTAAGAAGTATTTATCTTCTCTAATACATTGGAGGATGAGGAGGTGTTCATCAACCCTTTCATCCTCTCCCCTAAAATTTTGATCCACTGGTACGTACAGCTGAATCACATTACTGGTGATTCTTCAGAGAAAACACACTAACGACACCCTTACCCATCTGTCTACCTGCCCATATATCTAGTGTTACTCTTGCCTATATGGACTGAAAGAATCAGTTCACAGGAAGTTACTTCCTTGTATTTCCTGGCCACACAGACTTTTCACAATGGGTTCATAAATACTGGCTAATTTAGAAATAAAGGATGAAAAGCTAGGAGCAGAATTTTTCACTCTATGGAGGACCTGCTAGCCATTAAACTGGATGAGCTAAAAGAAAAATCTTTCCAATGCATTTAAAATAGACAGTTTGGTGAAAAGCTGCTGATCTACAGATGAAGAATGGTGATTTTTACAGATCACAAACTGAGTAGCCTATGGAGGACCTGCTAGCCATTAAACTGGATGAGCTAAAAGAAAAATCTTTCCAATGCATTGAAAATAGACAGTTTGGTGAAAAGCTGCTGATCTACAGATGAAGAATGGTGATTTTTACAGATCACAAACTGAGTAGCTGGGTTGTTAGAAGACGAGTGGTTCCTGCAATAGATGTGAGGCAACATGGGGCTGTTTGATACAAGGCAGACAGATGGGCAAAATCACCTCTCATCACGGCTGCAGATGTGGTAAGAGGGCAGGAATGGGTAAACCATCTGCTGACCATGTCCCCAGACTCCCTTCATTATCTGAAACCTCACTACAGACCCTGAGAGGCTGGGAGGGGCAGATGGAGAGAGCAGACTTGGGAGCAGGATTAGAGGAGGGAAGGAGGATGTTGGAATTTAACATAAAAGAAGGGCTTAAAGTCCCATTCCTTTTTGCTTTTAACTCTATGGTCCTATGAAAGCTAAAAATTAGGAATTTCTTTCAACTCCTAAGGCCTGCAGATTTAAGAGTTCAGTCATGAGTAGAATCTAAGAGAGAGTCTGAAGCACCAGCAAGTGTCGGCTTTGTAAAGCAAACTGAAATAAATATAAAATCCAGCTGGAAGGGCCAGTCTTTCTATTTTATTAAATACACAAGGAAGCACGAACATGTATCTGTCACATTCCTCAGTAAACAGGAACAGGTGTTGTTCCCAGGGCATGGGTGGAGGGGAAGGCCATGAAAAATAGTGACATTTTTCTTTGGGAGTCATTTCTTAGTGCTTGTAGCAACTTAGTGCTTTGGTGGCAAAACAGATGACAAAAGAGGGATCAAACAGGTGACAGACATGTAAATTGGCACAAAACAGGTAGAAAAGAGCTGTGCATTCTGTTCCACTGGTTGAGGTACTCATATTTTCTCTCCACTGGGCCAGGAAGGTGCAGGCAGAGCTAGGAGCTAGGTCTGCTAAGCCATGTGCTTCCAAGGAACATAAAAATGGTGTGGGTGACTGATATGGGCTGAATGTTTGTATCCCCCCCAATTCATATATTGAAGTCCTAATCTCCAATGTGATGGTTATTGGAGGTGGGGCCTTTGGGAGATGATTAGGTTTAGATTAGGTCCTGAGGGTGGGCCCCTCATGATGGGATTAGTGCACACATAAGAAGAGACATGAGACAGCTTGCTCGCTCTCTCTCTCTACCACATGAGGATACAATCAAAAGATGGCTGTCTGCAAGCCAGGAAGTGGGCCCTCCCCAGGAACCGTATCTGCTGGCACCTTGATCTTAGACTTTCCAGCCTCCAGAATTGTGAGAAATGTCTGTTGTTTAAGCCACCCAGTCTATGGTATTTTGTTATAGCATCCTGAACTGACTGAGACAATGGCCTAATTGTCCTGGGTCCTGTCCCTTCCAGAACTGGATTCAGAATAGCAGGAGGATGGGACAATGTCAGAATGCATCTTGGCCACAAGCAATTCTTTATTTTTTCTCCCAATATTGCTTCCCAACCCCCCACTTCCCTATGTAGGTAAATGTATAATAAAAAGAATTTGGTACTGAAAACTGAAATGAACAGTGGGAAAGAATACAATTGTACAGAATTAAGAACTGTCTTAAGGAAAATAGACCCCCAAATCCTGGAACAGGAAAAGGTTTTTTTTTAAGAAAATGATTTCTGCAAATTTGCTTACCTTTGTTTAAGCGTCCCATCACAGTAAATTCAAAATATTTGCTGTTGTCAGTTGAAGAGTGAAGGCTGAAGATGGTGGCTGAGCCTTTCGTCTGCAGCTTGAAGGTAGAGATCACATAGAGCTCACTCAAGGTGGGGTCTGTCAGGATTGGTTGCAGGACACCTGGGTTCAGCCTTTGACTAGAGGATGCGATTAGGTCAAAGACTGGGGAGAAGGAAGAGAAGAGGGTAGTCAGTGAAAGATTTAACTTTGGGGCAAAGATATTTGGGGGGAGGGCCAACTTGACAATAAGTTATGAAGTAATGTACACTAGTCGTGTAATCCATTTTCCACATCACCAAACTCACCATTCTTCCTTGTCACTTTCACAGTGTCTGGACATTCCAACCCAAAGAAATATAGCACAATGTTCATCACTGGTTATAGCCCTCAAGAGAAGACTAAATTTGCAGCATAAAATTGGATTTGGCTGAACATGTGGCTCTGAAAATGCCCACTAGGAAAAGCACCAAAGGCATCTAAAGCAGTAAAGGAACAAGGGGAACTGGTGAGCATACCCAAGTCTTTGTTTTTCTTACATCCCCATGCAGTGAATTTTTGTCATGGGATCCCTTAAGTACCTCTGGACTAGAGCCAATTGTATTTCCCTGGTCAGTGATAAATGACAAGGAATGCAGCAAAAAGCATGGATGTGGAGATAGACATACTGTCAGCAAAATGATTTGCTACCTTTGTGAGACCTAAGTGTTTCCTTTGTGCCTTTATAATTCTCCAATATTTCTGTTTAAAAAAATCCCACTGTGGAAACAAAGCAAAACAAGATGATGTGGTTTCTATTTCCTGACTGTATTTTGACTGACAGAGCTGGTCTATAAAAAACTAGAATCTGCATTTGTATTTGTATAAGTTTCTTTTGATCAAGCATGCAAACTCTCTCTCAAAAACTTTGTAATACTTATGAAAGGTTTGAGAGAGTATGTCCAGAGCCATTTAAGGCAAAGGCCAAATTTGGGTAATACACACTAGAAGTTACTTATTATTTCTGTCAGTTTATGCAAATATTGTTTGAACAGTTCCATAGCCTGCAGGAACTTCAGCACCAAGGGCTGTCTCTTGGATACAATAACTTGGTTATTAAAAGAGTAATATCAATAATTTATAAAGAGCTCTTACAAATCAATAAAATGATATGTATCCTAATAGAAAAATGGGTAAGGAGCATGGAAAGGCAATCTATAGAAAAATAATTATAAAGGACCAGTAAGTCTACTGTATAAATAAATGTTCATACACTTACTTAATAATGAAGGAATTGCTAACAGACAATTATTTTCACCATCAAATTGGAAAAATAATTAATACAATAATACCCAATTGTTGTGGGTGGGGTGATTCAGGGAAATGAGCATTCTTGTTTACTGCTTGGTAAGATTTAAACTAGTATAAACATTTTGAAGACAGTATAAATCACAATATCAAAAGCCCTAAAACATGTATACTCTTTGATCTAGCAATTCTACTTACAGGAATTTATCCTAAGGAAATAATGGATAATATGGTAAATGATTTAGGTACAAGGATAGTCACCACCAGTGATAATTCTAGGATTTCTATTTAGAAAATAATTAGGTGAAAATCTAATTGGAAGGACGGGGGGAGACCTGAAGCTCTTGGCATAGCTCTTTGCTATGAAAACATAAACTGTCCTCAGCAAAGAAAGAAGGGTTTGGCAGAGATGAAGGGGATGGTTGAAACTACCCTAAACCATCCTGTGGCACTGCAATTGTTCAATAAAATATTACTTACAATATCAAAACACTGGAAACAACTTAAGAGTCCTATGTTACAGCCTTGGCTAAATAAATTTTGATCTTTCCAAAAAGCAGAATACTATATATTTTTAAATGCAGCTGAATACTTACAGATATGGAAAGATGTTCATATGTTCAGCCAAAAAAAAGATTATAAAACTATATGTATAACATAATTCCATTTGAAATATGTATTTGCACTGAAAAAATTAGAAATAAAGACAATACAACAAAATGTTACCATTAACAGTAGCTATCTCTCGGTTGTATAATCACAACCTTTTTATTTCCTTTTTTTTTTTTTTGCAATCCAATTTCTAGTTTTTTTCCGAAATGAAAGGTATTGCTTTTGTAATAAGAAAAAAAAAAATGAATAAAAGTTCTAAAACAAACAGGCAAAAAAACCTAGTTACTCAAGAATGTGCACTCTCGGGACGGCCTGTGGCTCACTTGGGAGAGTGTGGTGCTGATAACACCAAGGCCACTGGTTCGGATCCCATAGAGGGATGGCCGGTTGGCTCACTGGCTGAGCGTGGTGCTGACAACACCAAGTCAAGGGTTAAGATCCCCTTACCGGTCATCTTTAAAAAAAAAAAAAACAATGTGCACTCTTTTTAAAAGACAATTTGTCTTCAAGCTGGATCTATATTGTTTATTCCACATGTCCCAGAGGAGCTTGCACAATAATGAATGTAATACTAGACATGTTGGAAAGCAGAACATCTATTGTGTTCCCTCCAGTACCCACATCCCCAAACCATGAAGACTGCTGCCTAGTGCATTTCAAAAGGAGAATCAGATTTTTCAATTTCCAGAGAATTGGAAACTACTTTTCCACCAATGAGGACAAAGGGAAATAAGGTAATATGTTTAGACGTTCCATTCAGGACAGGGCATCTTCAGAAAACAGGTGTGGTTAAAGTACGGGAACTGCATTCAAAACTAAGCACTTGGTACTTTTGCTTCTTGTTTTGACTATGTTCAGGCCCATAATTTAATTCAAGCTAAACTTGCTGTTTCAATCTATATGGTTCCTCTGATCCATCTGCTTCTCCCTCAAGAGGCAGAGTTAGAATTAGTAATGAGTTCAGAGAGTGTTTTGAAAAGGAAATGAGACACTACCATTTTCTATTAGTGTTATTATGTTTTAGTAAAAGAGCCAAGATCTGAGCACAACCCTTTAGTGTTAGAGGTGAAATTACTGCTACTAATAAGCCCAACTATCAAGGTGTATAAATTGGATACATACTAATTTAAGACTAGCAATGCAGCTCAGAGGAAAAAGGAGATAAGCAAATTATCCAGTTGAGCTGATAACTGCAGACAAAATAACTTAATAAAAGAATCTATCAGAAATTTGACTTATTCAGATCAACCACAGCAACTAAATTAATCAGATAATTTAGGTTGTATTGCCTGAGTTTAAGTTTCCACAAAATGGTCAGGTCTGTCTAAAAAGAAGCAAAATCCATACCTAAGGCATACCATGAAGTTGTTTGCTCAAATGTCAAGAATTTATATAACCATATAATAGAATACCCATAAATTCAAGCCTGCCAAATAATCTCTGCAATAAGAAAACTTTGCATTGGGTTAAAAAGCTTCCTTTCTTAGAAGCACAGGGAACAATGCATATTGCAGACTTCGGGATCTCATATATTCAACTCAACCTAAAAGTTGGCCAGTACAGTACCCCCTGAAACCACAATTTTGGCTGCCTGGTCTGGAATCAAAATCAGTTCTGTGGTGAAATGTAAAGTTTAAATGGGGGATTACTGGCATGGGAGGTGCAGGGAGTTGAGCATGCCTTCACAGGCATTCTTTGCTCTGGTTTCATGAGGAATAATAGTTTTTACTTCAAGTTGTGTGCCTCATCCAGTTTTATTTCCTTAGTCAGTAATATATCAACCCAGGCACCTCGTTCAAACAAATGAAGGACGTCACCACTGGATATCCAGTTAGAGCTCTAAGATCTTTTCTTGCTCAAATCATTTCTTCCTTCAGGTCTCTACAAAAAATTCTGTTTAACCTCAAGAGCTTCTTGCCCAACGGCTATTTCCATCTCATCTCACAAAGGGATTTGAGATTACTCTGGTATCTTTTCAAATTATAACCTTTTCTTAGAAAAACCTCTATTTCTCAGCCCTTCCTATTCATCTCAGGAGTCAAGAGATCAAGCCAACTCTTGAAAGAATCTTTGCTTTTCAGGGTCCAAGCAAAGCCAGCAGAAAAAGGCGGGTGGCAGGGCAAGTTGGGCAGTGTGGGGTCTTTCTCAGGGGCGTCGGTCTCAGACCCTCTGGGCAGATATCGCCGTGTGGAAGGATGTGGGGGGCAAGGACTGAGTGGAGGGACCGGGCCTCAAGGGACAGAAACCGGTCTTCCTACACAAGACACTACATGTTAGAGGCAGGTGTAGGGCAGTGTGGCAAGCTTGGACGTACACCCCACGATTTTGCACAGACTGAAAATAATTTTGTATCCCCCAAACTATTGTTTAGGGAACTGGTCTCATCACTGGATAATCGAATTTCAGAAAATTCTAGACTCTGATCGGCGCTTCCAATTACAATATGCTTTGATGAGGGCCCCGTTGGAACAGAGAGGGGCTGAGCGAGGCTCCAGGAGCAGAGGCCGAGCAGCGCGCCAGGCTGGAGCGCGGGACTGCGGGCTCCGCGGATGGGTCGGGACGGCCTGTGGCTCGCGGGCCTGCGGGCTCCGCGGATGGGGACCCGGTGCTCTTCACCCGCGCGCCCGGCCCGAACCCACTTACCCTGGGGGGTGGCCTGGGCATCGGCCCCCAGCCACGGCTGCAGGACCAGGTGCAGCAGGAGGAAGGTGGCTCCGCAAGGGGCCAGCATATTGGCTATGGAAGGAACGTAAGTAATTAGTCTTCCTCCTTGGCAAAGCCCCCTAAGAATGATATGGATTAATTAGAAGAAAAAAATATTTGAAAAACAGTGGCAAATTTTTCCCTTTGTAACAATCTTGACTAATGGAGAAGATCCAGCAAAGTATTTCTATCCCTATCTTTTATGTCTCAAAGAATTTCATTTCAAAGTTTAAGAAGCTATCTGCTGCAAACCGGGAGATTAACCCACCGCCTTATTCCCAAATTGTGCTAGAATAACCCGTAATCAATTATGATTCCATTTACAGCTAATGGCCTGGCGATCTGTGAGCTCTCTTCAGAGCTCTCTTCTGTATGAGGTCTAACACAGGTGTAGTCAGGCTTCCTTTAATACCACATTACACTAAAATCGCTAAATGGAACGGGTCACCCTATATCTACTTATGAGAAAGCACTGAAGAGACACAAAGGGTGCATGCACATGTTTCTGTGCAAAGTGACCGTAAACTAATGAGATGGACTAGACTTGAGAATCAAGTCCCAAAATTGTGTCCCCAGGAGTGGCCTGGGTTGGAGGGGGACCCAGGCTTTCAACCTGTGCTTCGGGCAGAAGGACTTTGCTTTTATGTATTTTATACAACGGACTTAAGAGGAAGATTTTCTTTCAAGAGAATGTTTGGGCGTTCAACATTTTTGTTTTTGTTTTGTTTTGTTTTTAAATTTATTTTTTATTAGCATATTCACTGTTACAAATCATACTTATTCTTTATGCTTCCCCCTCCTCTCTCTAATAACCATAGATTGTTCTCTCCATCTGATAGATTAACTGTCCCTCTGTTGGTGTGTAGCCCAGATGATCTGTCCAGTACTGAGAGGGGTGTGATCACGTCCTCCCCTATCATCATAAATCAGATGCTGCTTCTATTACTCTGGAGTGTGCTCTGTGGAGAGAGAGAACCTCTTCTTCTTTTCTTTTTTCTTTTTTGGTCTCCGCTGGTGCCTGTCCTTGTGACAATGCAGTTGAGAGTCTGGCGTGCCATCTTCATGGTGTCTGTGACTGCTGCTATAGAGACAAGCCACTTTTGTGGCAACCGTGGCAATTGCAGTGGCTATGGTGGGCAGCCTACATGGAAATGGTGTTTTGGTGTGCTCTTTACCTGGTTGTGGCTGGGTTGGGCTTCCCCCGGCTCCATACCTCATTCTAAGATGTTGTTGTAGAGCAGTTGGCAGGGAGGGGAGAAAGGAAGGGGGAGAGCAATAGGGTAGGAAGAGGAGGAAGGGGGAGGGCATGATTGAGGCCCATGGCACCCCCTTATTCTGGCAGGGGAGACCAGGGGGCTTCCAGTGGTGGCTTGGTCATTGCTGGGCTGGAGGCAGATGTCAGGGGGGTGTGGCTGAAGCCCTTGGTCCCCACTGCCCTGGCTTGGGAGCCCCGGGTGTTTCCGGTGGTGGTTCAGTGGCCATCATTGGGCTGGTTACAGATGTCGGGTGGGGGGGAGGTGTGGCTGAGGCCCTTGGCCCCTCATCACCCTGACTAGGAGGCCTGTGGTGTTTCTTGCAGTGGCTCGATGGTCATCACTGGGCTGGTTGTGGGTGTCAGGGGTCATGGCTGAGGCCCTTGGCCCTCCCCTCTCCCTGGCTTGGGAGCACTGGGGGCTTCTGGTCCTTCTAGGTTTTATAGGTATTCTTTGGTGGTGTTAGATCTTTACTAGCTAATATCAAACTTTGTCTCTGATCAGTGGCTATTTTGTTTTTTCTTTCAGTTCTGTGTTGGATTATTTGCTGTTCCCACCACTTAAACTCTGCATTGGAACTAATTTGTTGTCCTTTGCTTATTTCTAAAATGGGGGAACTTCCTGTGGGAACCAGCACTTGAGCCCTGTGGTTGAGCTAAGCTAAATTGCTTAATTGCTGCTGATTCCCTGGAGAAGGCTTTTTTTGCAGCTCAGCTTTTAATGGTTGACCTTGTAAACACTTCCAGGTCTTATGAGGTTCAGTACACCTGGGTTGTGTGGAAACTCTGGTCTAGGCCTGAGTCTTTTCAGAATCTGCTCCTTTGCAGTTCTGTATTCCTGACCAGTCTCCACTGAATGGTCCTGCGCTGACTGGGGGACAGATCAGCTGTCCATGCTGTGCCCCAGTGATCCCCTGGTAGGCCCATCTCCCCCACCACCTGCACTCCAAACACCTCCCATCGAATGGGTCATGCGCCAGTCCCTTGTGATGACTCACTGGCCTCTGAGAGGCTCCTTTTTTCTGTTGTCTGTGGCTCCTTATTCCTATGTGGGTCCACAGGAACCCTGTTATTGGTCTTGCTGGCCTGGAGGCCATCAAGGCCCTCTTCTCCCCTGCCACCTCCAAGCAACTTCATATGAAGGGCACAGCAGCGACTTTTGCCAACTCTTGCTCCATGTACTCACCAGCTCAAGCCTTGAAGTGGCTGGGGCTCGAAATGGTGGGAATGATCCTTTCTTTCTGTCATCGTGGCTTCTCATGCTGTCATGAACTCTGTAGGTCTCTCCTCCTCTTCCCCTGAGCTATAGGGGCCCCAGCTTGGCTGTTGATGCTTTTTAATAGTTGTAAATTGGTTGATTTGTGAGAGAGAGTGACACTGGGGACTGTCTATTATGCCATCTTGACCAGAAGCCTGGACCTTTAAACATTTTGAAAGCCACTAATCAGTGGTTCTCAGCTGATTTGGTATATCAGCATTTCCTGGAGAGCTTAAAAAAACACAAACTAGGCACCTACAGGGAACATATTAAACCAAACATCAAAAGGAACAGTTAACATACTATGTTGCACCATAGCCTACTCTGACAAATAAAATAGGACTATTCCCTAAATGAGTCATTGAGAAATTCTTGTAGATGCCCCCGTAAGTTTTTGTGCAGTGTGCCAGACATTGCCTGTTTCCTCTCAGATCCAGTGTTCACCTTTCCTCTGCATGCTTTCCAGCAGTCTGGGTAAAATGGGAGACTAGAGAGCAATAAGAAGGTAGACAGTAGAAACTAAAGTATTTCCCTCTGTCTGATCTGAATGGATGCATCTGCTTCGTGGCTCTTGCAGGTTAGGTCCACCGTGGTCCACCGTGGTTCTGGCTTTTGCCCTATCACCATTTGTCCCTCCAGCCATGGAATTGGAGATGACTTCCTGCAATTGCTAAAATGTGGATTGCCTCATTGTTCCCTGTTTGGCATCTTAGTTCTTCCGTCACTTATGTAACCATTTCCCTGTACTAAATTTCTTCTATTTCAAATACCTAGAGTGGTTTCTGTTTTCCTGATATGTACAAGCAGGACTAAACTGTTATTTGAAGGAAGATACCATTTTTTAGTTATCTTTGTTTAGTCATCTTTGCTAGAATTTCCCAATTCCTAGCAAATTCCCAGAAAACTAGCTTGCACATATAGGCACACAATAAATTTTGGTTGAACTGGATGACTACTAAGTATAATGAAGAAACAAAAGACTCAAATGACTTTCTGCTAGCCTAACAGAACTTAAATCTAGTTTTTCTTCTAGAGAGCCTGTGCTTTTATGAAGCCATTCAATGGGGGAGTCCATTGAATGAGTCAAGTCTTCAGAATCAAGATGAAATTTGATCACAATACAATTCATTGAATTAAATATGAAATCTATGGTAAGGGAAGTGAAAAGTTAATCAGTTTCATTTCTGTGCCACCTCCTATTAAAATATCTGTTGTTGCACTTACACTGAATTTTATTTTATTTAATAATGTATTGATTGATTTGTTTAATATTTTCCCCCAAATCAGACAGTGAGCTCATTAGGGCTATCTCATTTATTTTTGTAGCACCAATTCCAAGTATAGTGCCTAGCACTTAATAGTGAGTTGATCATTGAATTGACCTTCCTTCTCTCAGTACTGTAAGTTAGGATAAGAGTTGTTGCGATGTGTTAGTAATCCATTCGTAGGTGAGATAGGTTACAAAAATGATCCTAATTCTTTACTCTTTTATATACATATCTTTTGCCTTCCCATGGCTTGGCCATGTAACTTGCTTGGCTAATAGGATTTTAGCAAAAGTGCCTCAAGCAGAGGCTTAAAAAGTGCTTATGTTATTTGGTGTATTAGTCCGTCTCTGTTGCTTATAACAAAATACACGGAACTGGGTATTTTATAAAGAAAACATTTATTGCTTACAGTTTCGGAGGCTAGGACATCCAAAGTCCAGGGAACACATCTGGTGAGGGTCTTGGTGATGACGACAGTGATGGCAGAGTATTATATTGCAAAAATGGTGGATCAGAGAGAGCACAGAGAGACTAACGTCCTCATTCACTCTCCTTTTAAAGCCCTCCAACCATGCCCATGACCACCATTTCTAATCCGTTCACTATGGCGTGGTCCTACAATCTGATCACCTCTTCAAGGCCCCATCTTTCAGTTACCATAATAAGATTTCCTACCCACAACAGTTACGGTGGGGATTAAGTTTTGGGGGGACATTCAACCCAAGGCATTGGGCTTGCTTGCTCTTTCACCTCTGCCTTTGCCATGACAGACTGTCTGTGGTAGCCTATTGGAGGCTGAGGAACATGGAGCAGAGACGTCTCCCTAGGCAAAGCCAGCCAAGATCAGCTGACAGCTGACTCAGACAAGTGAATGAGTTCAGGCAAGATCAGAAGAGCTTTCTAGCTGTCTCCAGACGTGTCTCTAGACATGTCAGCAAATTTATTTTTATATTCCATTGAGATTTTGGGGTTGTTTGTTATGTTACACTATTGTAGCAGTAGATAACTAGGTTTCCTTCATTTTCTAATTGTTGTAATACAGACTATGATTCCATTTTTGATGTTTAGCTGGTGACACCTTTCAAGCCCCACCGCTGCCCTTCCTTTCAGCTTCACATCTGGGCATGCTGGTAAGAAATCCTAGTTGTTCCTTCCTTTGGTGCTGGCAAGAAGTTTCAACTGTGTAAACCCTAGCTTATATACAGGAATCCTCACCACAGACCCAGCACTAACCACCGTAAAATCCCCCA